TTTTTGAAATTAATCTCAAAATCTATAGGGTTTTTTTTTGGCAGAAATGTACTCTTTTTCTTTCTTTTTTCTTTCTACAATTGCCCTAATATGCCATTGTACAGAATAGTTTTGATCCACGGTTGTAGATCCTGCCTGAGATTGAGTTTAATATATAAAAACAAGCAATACCCAACAAGCTATTAAAAACCTCTGATAGACTGACCTACAAGTTTGTTTGTGATTGGAAAAGACAAGGGTACGTAACATAAAAGGTGTCAATCTACAACAAAATTAATTTATCTACTCTTATTTATATTTTAACAGACAAGATAAGGATTAAATTATTTAAAGAAAATCATTTTACTGGCCCTCCACCAATAAATCCCTACTTGTAGCAAGTTTTTGGACGTTTCCTCATGTATTTTTATTATTTCCCCCACTATTGTTTATTTAAACCAGGACAGAATGAAAAAAAAACTTTCAGCTTAGCAGCTTTTTGTATCTGGAGTTCCCTTCCAGACCACCAGAGGGCACCACAGACAACACGTTTATCTTTTACACTTTTTCCAGCGTAACCAAATTGCTATGGTTGCATTTATGAGTGTTCAAGGAAATATATATCAGTAAATATTGGTTATCAAAATTGACCTAAATATTCATAAGCATTATTTTTGATTAGCAGATAATTGGCATTTTTGTTTCAATGATTACTATTATTTGAACAAAAATTAACATGTAGCTTTTATTGTGAACATTGCTCTTCTGAGAACAGCTGAAGGTACTTGCTTTCAAAATGAAAATGTAAGCAAAAGTATTAAAAGTTTTGAGAAGAAAGACGTGTAATCCTGCTTTCAGAATGAAAATGTGTGCTCTCGAATTATGGCAGAAACATTAAGTTTGTGTGTCTCTTTTGTTCAGGGAACTCAGTTTCCAAGCAGAGTCCTTCTGGATTCCAAGGAAAACCGGAAACTAACAATACTGCGTCTACTCTACTCTAAAGAGATTCCTCTGGTCTGGTTCTGGGTGGCAGTTAAGAGGTTAATTCTGTTAATTATAATTATGTTAACTTCTCATAGCCACCAGACTCAACACAAGATAAAAAAAGAGATAAATTAATTAATGTGAGCACGTGAAACATGAGCTGCAAACCAAAGTAGAGAAAAAATAACATCTTTCATTTGATAGTAATTTATTCAAAGTTGACATTTGTTGAACAGGTTACAGTGGGATAAACTGGATAAGATATGAAAGAAGCAGCCTTCTGTGGTTAAACTTGGTTAAATAAAACCAGATGGTGCTGGTACTGGTTTAACTGGACCAACAGAAGCAGCCGGTCTCAGTCGTCGCAAAGCTCCAACTTCAGAACCGGCTTGAAGCTGTCGGACATGCTGGCCCTGATGGTCATTTCACCCTTTTTGTGGGTCAAACTGGGCCCGTTGGCTTTTCCCCGGATGAAGTCGTTCTGGGCGGCGTAGTACATTTCATTGTAGAGGTCATTATCGCACAGCTTGTCTTTGCTGAAGATTCCCACGGCGTACCAGTTGAAGAAGATGTTGAAGTCAAAGGGAACGGAGAACATGACGGCCAGCCGGCCCTTGATCTCGTCGTTGGACTTCTGGACGATGTTGTACATGAAGACCCCCGCTGAGCCGCTCGCTGTGTAGACTTTCTTGATGAAGAGAGCACTGCCAGATTCTGATGGAGAGAGAGTTGGAGGCAGAGGGGACTCACAGTTTCCCTTAAAGACATAAACCCTGGACAGAAAACAGAGGTTTAAGTTCAATTCAACTGAAACTGCTGTTGGTTTTATCATCTATCTGCAGGTTGCTTCAACTTTTAATGTGGTTCTACCTTCACACTGCAAAAACACAAAATCTTACCAAGTATTTTTGTGTAGTTTCTCTTGCAAATAACTTAGTATGCTTGAATTAAGACAAAACTAACTTAAAAGTAGCTTTTCAGAAATATATAGAGGCTTGTTTTAAGCAGAGCAGGATAGTAACTAGTCACATTTACTCAATTACATCTACATAACTTTTTTGAAAAATTTTACTTTTAGGCATATTTTTATTACACTCTACTTTTTACTTTTACTTTAGTAATTTTATTTTGAAATATCTTACTTGAGTATAATTTCTGGATTCTCTACCAAACGAATGAACATTTATCAAACACAGACACACACCTGCAGTTTTAATCACAGATGAGCACACACACACGCACACACACACACATACATTTAAAACAGGTTTGTTTTGAGCAATTGGATTGAACCAAAGCAATTATACAACTAATAATAGTTGCTGTGTATTTACACAACCAGTTACAAAGCAATGCAAAGCGAAAGAGAAAGAAAAACACTAGTTTAATCAAATAATGTCTTATTAAGAAATAAATAACCTTATTAATGCAGTGTGAACAGAATGAGTTTTGTTGCTACTGACTCAACATTGGCAGAAGCTTTAGCATTAGCAACACATTTCTAAGGACAATTCTGACATATTTATGCTGGTTAGTGAAGAGAAAACACTCACAAACAGTGCACAGTTAATAAATGATGTTTAAATTGTTTTGTTCAACAAGCAACTGGAAGGTTTTATGTCCAAGTCAATCCAAACTCTGCCTCAGTCAAGTTTCAGGCATCCCAACCAAATAAAAGCTCAGGATAAACACAGAATCACTTCCTAAAAGGATGATGGACGAACTGAACCTGTGAGTGTCTGTGTGCGTGTGCGTATGCGTGTGTGTGTGTGTGTGTGTGTGTGTGTGTGTGTGTGTGTGGGTATGTGTGTGTGTTAAAACTCACAGCGGCTCACATAACTTCAAGCTGGAGCTCTTATTCTGAATCTCCACGGTGCACTGACGGTGAGTTGGAAGAGGCATTTTCAGAACCTGCTCAGGAAACAAAACGGAAATAACTGGACCCTGAATGGGATTTTTTACTTGTACTCATGCAGGCTGACAGGGATAAAATGCTGAATTTTGCTCATTTGACAGACAAACAGAAGAACTTTAGAAGCTTGTCCAGTTCACCTTCACCAGAATAAATGAAGTGTGTCAACAAGAAAATAACAAATAGTTCCCATTAATATCTGGAATTCATTCATTGATTTTCAACTAGACTTCTTCTCTTGTTCACTGCAAAATCACAAAATATGGAGTATTTTTGGTCAAATTTCTTACTACCCATGAAATAACACAACACTAACTCAAAAGTAACTTTTCAGAAAGGTGTAGAGGCTTATTTTAAGAAAATAATTCATTAATATTGATGAATAAAATATAGCTCCATTGGCAGATAAATTAACCTATAACATGGGAACAATGTCTGGTTATAAGTTAATTTAAATGCCAATGGAACTATATTTTATTCATCAATATTAAGGATTTATTTACTTGAAACAAACTGCTATATCTTGCTGGAAAGTTACCTGTAAGTTAGGTTTGTCTTATTTCAAGTGTACTAAGATATTAGCATTAAACAAAATTACTTGGTAAAGATGTTTATTTTTGTGATGTTTATTGAAGGTTTCTTTCATCCAAACTCTTCTTCAGTTCCCCATGATTGGATGAACAGAACCTAAAGTTCTTGTAAGAACAATCACACCATTTAAGTCATGAGGACATCTGAGTCACAGGCCCTTCCCTTCAGTCAGATGATCATTAATTAACGATCCAAACATTTTTTCTAACAATACCATGGCAATTGTTTTGTTTTTTTTTTTTTTTTTTTAAATTTGATCCAACACAATGTCCAACTTTGAGAATTAATTTTGGGTTCAACTTAGGTTCTTATCAATTTCTAGTGTTTCCTCCTCCATCCATTTTAAATCATACACTGTATTGTGATTATTTTTTTCCAAATAAAAACAATCATTCATTCTTTCCTATTAATCCCGTTTATCTACGCATTAAGTTCAGTTTATTTTTCAAATTAGTTATAAAGTTTCAGAAGAGCATTGAGTCTTTGACTTGAACCAGCACAACAAGCAGCATATCGTTTTACAAGGCACATCATAATTATCATCCTTAGTGATAATTAAGGATGACAAAAGGTAACAACTTTGCAAAATTACCTTGAGCAAATGATCAAGTTAAAATGTGAACACAGTCTTGGTCTAAATCAATAGATGAATGTAACGTTGGGGATTGTTTTTTGCAGGGTTGACCCAACTAGATCTGCAGACTTTGCTCAGACTGCAAACAGCTCAGGGATCTAAACATTTCCACACTTCAAAAGATAAAGCAGAACCTTATTTTTAATCTCAGTAGAAATGCAGGTACAATGGAGAATAAAAATGCTGATATGTGGAACCCTGAAGACAACCGAACCAGAAGGTGAACCACCGAACACAACCAGAACCGACCGAAACCGAGACGTTCCAAACAGAAGGGATACTCACTGCGTCGGACCCGTCGTTTACGAATCTGCTTGACAGAGAGGAATGAAATCAGCTCTTCCACTGATGAAGGTGAGATTTAGGTGTGGTCCAACCTCTGCAGAACCGGTCCTTCAGTTGGCATCACTGGGAGTTTCTTCATGTTTTTCAGTTGTTCGTCTTACCAGGTACTTTTGGTCGAGATTTTAGGGCAAATATCTTAGTACACTTGAATTAAGAAAAAACTAAGTTACAAGCAACTTTTCAGCAAGATATGC